AATGCACCAGTTCTACCGCCCCAAAAAAACTTTAAAGTAGACTTATGTGGTTGTGCCCAACCTGCATTAGCTACAATTTTGACACTAGGATAATCATCACAAATTGAACACTCTGTGAATCTGACCTTGTGGGAAGAAGAATCCTGAGAGCCAGAAGCTGCGTGGTCCATCCCTGGTCACCTCGCCCTCCCCCAGGTCCAGGGACAGCGGCGACTGTTTACTGACCGGCCGGTTGATGCCCATCTTCTTCTCCATGTTGCCGATGACCAGCTCTGCCCAGGTGGAGAAGAAGTCTGTCCGCTGAGCCAAGTCCTTCACCCAGGAGCCCAGCGGCTTGCACGACTCATACGCTGCCTCCTGAGGAGGGATATCAAGAAAGTCATCAGGAGGCTACAATATAAACGTCGCTTTAATCTTATTACATCACACTTCACTGCACTGCGGGGATAGATCTTGTGGGGTCCCACACAGTGACTTTTCCACCTCAAGACTTCCATACAATACCTTTTTTTATCACACAGGAACTTGACACATAAAGAAGCCAATACCAGGGAAGCTACAGCGAATAGAACCGTTTCTCACCTGCCACTTCTCTGGCACCCTCTGGACCAGGAAGGAGTTGTAGGCCTCCTCCAGGTGTTCTGACATCACCACCTCTCCCTTGACAGCCAGGGTAAGAGACCTGAGGGAGGAGTGCACCACTGCCAGCAGCCTGTTGTACCTGTCTATCTCCTGTCTCAGGACAGTCACCAGCGCTGAGTTACTCAGGTCATCAGGGTCTTCCTGTCCAACTGTAGGCACACATTGCAGAAAGTCAATAAGATGGATGTTTTGAGTAAGTAAATAGTTTTACCTGCCAGTCGCTTTACTCCTGTCAGGAGTGTGCATGAATGACTTGGTATGAACATGCATACAAAAACATGAATACAATAATCAAATGAATAAATTACAGTCAAACCACTGTGTCTTCATATCCAATGGAATAGTCTTCTCCTAAATCATGTATCTGAATCACTACATTCTATGGACTCACCCTTCTCCCCCTTGGCCTGTTTCTCCAGGCTCTTTTTCCTCATGGCAGCCTGGTTACTGGCAAACATGGTGTTGAGAGTGGTACGTCCCACCGACCCGGCATCTCTGTCCCGGGCTGTACCAGGCTCATCCTGCTCCACTGTCTCAGGCAGGTGTTGTGAGATGTCTGAGATCACCTCAAGCACAATCTCATCACTACTCTTCCCAGATCTGTGTTACAAACAGAGGAAACCAGCATCATTAGTATCAAATACATGTAGTAATTCTGAATCATATGAACACAGTAAAATCTTGCTGACAAACAAGACACTTTTTATTTACAAGGCACTTATTATATGAAAACTTGTTGCCAGATTTCTAAATATACTTCCAGTCTCAAACCCTTCCTGACTGTAATTTCTGTGTGTTCAATTGCTATACCTACGTGTTGATTACACACAAATGATGATTGTATTGAACTGTGTAGAATTCCTGTTGTTATTTTTTCTGCCCAGGTAATAGTAATGACACTGCACACATTGTGATATGTGAGACTTTTCTTACCCTATAACACCGGTAGCCGTCAGCCTTGGCTGGACACTGATAATGGTCTCAATCAGTTCTGAAGCCTGGCTCCGGAGGAAGGCATTCTCTGCGTTCTCGTGCATGCCAAAGATGTCAGGAGAGTCTGAATTGGGGAGGGCATCTATGTATGCTCGGGACTCAGCTAGTGAGTAGGAAGTTGGCAATGGTTGGTATAACTGTGAAGCAAGAACATAGGCACAAAAAATGTAAATGTTTCAGATTGTTAAAAGTATGTTAGTCAGAGTACTGTATAATGTGAAATATAAAGTAATTTCCATGCAGTAACACTACTAGGAGCATTCTGTTGTAGTCACCATCTACAGATGACAGCCATGGAATCATGCTTGGACATTGACATGACAACTAAGCACAAGACAATTGATGTCCTGAAACCAGAATAAAAGAAAATTAAAAAAAAAGCATTTGAAATACATACCCCATCAGATGAATATGAGTACCCAGGGTTCAGGGCCTCTGGGCACAGAAACCTCTGTAGGATGCTGTGCAGGCACCTTCTGTCCCACGCATCGGTCACCCTGCCTCCATACACAACCTCTCCTGTCAGATACAGCAGGGCTGACCAGGGGACCGTCCCATCCTCCTCCACCATCAGTGCCTGCAGCATCTGCAGGGAAACCTGACACAAACAGAAAACCTCCACATCAATGGAATGCATCATGAGTATAATTATCCCTCTTTACAAACACCACTTTGCAGGATGCATGGCATAGGAAAGCATTCTCCTTTCACATGTGTTTAGATACTATATATAATTATACTCAGTAGGAATGGGAATTGTTTTGTAATGTCTTGCCTAATGAAACAAGACTTCACAGAGCACATTCTATAAAATGCTAGACTTACCTCCAAGTCTGAGGAAGTGAAGGCATATGGAATGTTGTAGCCCAGTGGACCATATTTCTTCCTCTCGTGCACCACAGCATTGAACATGCACAGCCCAAACAGGAGGTTCTTCCAGGACGGGCCCAGCTTGGCATCCTCATAAAGCTGGTCAGTAACAATCCCTGATCCTCCACTACCAAAGGACCGCTGCAGGTTTGCCTTTAGCCCCTGGGGCAGCTCTACAGTCATCTGGAATCACACAGGTGGTTACTGTGACTGAAGGTGTCTTAGGTAAAGTGTACGTGGTGTGCATGGAATGACATGACATGAATATGAAACAACTCTTACTAAGTATTTACTATACCGGGTAGTGTCATATTTTTTGTTTGTGACTTTCTTTTGTTTAACTTGTATGTTTATGCCCCTACTCCACTCCACTGACCTTTAACCCAGTTTGTAGGATGGTGATGGGGAAGCAGGGGTCAGGCTTGGAGCTCAGCCACAGGCGGAACTGGGGGTCAATATCTGCACCTGGTTTGTTAAAACTGAAAAACACAAGAGCACAACTTATTAACAGAGAAGAGGAACATGGAAGGGAATCCTTTAAAACATATAGAAGGGATGTTATGTGTCTGGAAGTATAATCAGACTTTCAGAAAACACTGATGTCACTGATGAACAATGACTCCCACCTGTCCACAATGGCCTGCAGTCTGGGCATGAAGGAGGCAGCCAGGTGGCAGTTCTGGAGGAACACCCACCGACCCTTCAAGATGTGAGCCTTCTGGATCAGCTCCTCTGCCTTAGGCCCCTGGCCACGCCCCAGGGAGATCATGTCAATGTGGAGAGTACTGCCACGTACCTCCTTAGCAAACCTCATCAGCTGGGCAGCAGGGTCCGAACCTGGGGAAAAGGAAACAATACTTCTGAGCAAACAGGAGTTACACCTTCATTGACATTGACAAGTAATGTCTATATGTCAAGTGAAGGTTCACAAATTTTGTATGTTCAGTGTACACAGAAATTTCTTAGGGAGCGAGTATGGGAGCCCCGGCATACAAATAGGGTGGTACCCAGGCTACAGTGTTGGTAAAATTAGACAGGCATAACAATCACATCGGGCATTTAAATAATGCTATCATCTAATGCAAGACTGTCAATTATCCAGATGATAACAAGCCACCCTTCTCACCATGAGACAGGATGAAGATGAGAGGAGTTTGGGCATCCGACTCCTCAAACACCTCCTTCAGATCAAAGTCTCCTGTAGACAGGAACTTGATCCCCATCTTCTCCTCCACAAAGGAGCGGATGGAGGCCTTCAGCATCTCTGGCTGCAGGATCTTGATCAGAATGAGTCTCTGGAAGGCAGACAGCTCCTGCCACTTAAACAGGACCTTCTTAGCTGAAGTCTTCTGTGATCTCTCCTGTGTGCCTGAACCTGGTCTGGAGCTGGTGGACTTGCCAGAACTTGGCCTGGAACCGACCCCTGATAGAAGGAAATAACAGTGGTTAGAGACTCTTTGGCTCTAAACATACACTAAACAATTGCAGATATGTGGTGTCAACAATATTGCAGTGCAACTATGGTACATCACATGGAAATAGTCCTGACTTCTTAGCTTGCTTTTGATCTTAAGTTTTCTCCTAATGTATTACTATTAGTCCTTTCTCTTTGGTCACTGGAAAAAGTGCATGTTTCTTACCTTTGATCTCCTCCAGAGGAATGTATCGTGTGGCCATGGCGTGGTAGGGGTCGTCCATGCGGAGCAGCAGCTGCCACTGTTCAGGGTTGGACACTAGGCTGTGGCACAGCTGACTAAAGTCCTCCATGGTGGAGCAGATGTACTGACACTGCCGCCACTTCTCAGCTGTCAGCCACTTGGGCATGGTGCTCTTCCCTGCAAGAAAGGAGATGGAAGTCAGCACACTGGATATGTGTAAACTATGTATGCTAACCTATCTTATGTCAATGTAAGATGTTGAACGCTGAAGTGTGTGGAAGTTTGTGAGGATAAAGACATATTACAGTACATGTACCTATGAAGGGAGTGCTGCCGCTGACACCGCTGAAGTGTGTGGAAGTTTGTGAGGATAAAGACATACATGTACCTATGAAGGGAGTGCTGCCGCTGACACTACTGAAGTGTGTGGAAGTTTGAGAGGATAAGGATATGTTACTGTAACTGTACCTATGAAGGGAGTGCTGCCGCTGACACTGCTGCGCCTGCTGCTGCTGGGGGTGAGACTGGGGCTGGAGGGGTCACTCCCGATCCCTGCCTGCATCTCCAGCCTCTGCATGGGGGTCAGTCCTGACAAACACCAGGCATGGAGGGGAGATGTATGTTAGGACATGCAAGGAAATAATAGATTAAACAACTTAACACTACTGTAACAAAAAAGTTGTCAATTCTGCTTTACAACAATGAAAAAAAGAAAATTTAAATGCTTCTCAATGAACATCTGTACCACATAGTGCTCTGTAATTGGTTTGTACTTTAATTTGTACTTCATCAACAAGGGTGGTTTGAATCTGAAGGTTCTGCACTGACCATCAGTCTGCTGCTCTGTCTCAGCATCCATCATGTTGGCAAATATGGGAGTGTGGAGGAAGATCAGCCACTGTTTCTCCACCAGACCCCCCAGGCTGTTCAGCACCTCATCAGACAATGTGCTCTGTACTGCATTATTCCTGGATTGTAAAAAACAAATGATGAAAAAATTAAGGCTTTCTTAATTTTGACACCAAAAAATGGGTATTCATTTTATTTCATCTTCTGCAGGATACCTGACACAAATCACAACTAAACACCAAATATTTTGATAGGATATAATCCAAACTTGGCAACTGAAGAGCAGCATGTTTTCATGCATGAATTTTTTTCCTACCTCATGATGCTGGTGCACAGGAGGAAGGAGAACATGAGCTGGTGATGTGCAAACAGAGCCTGAGACACGACCTTGTACACAGACTCTGTTAATGTGTCAATCATCTTCATCAGATGGGCTGGAGGGAGAGAAAGTCAGAGCTGTAGACTTTTGCTGCTACTATTTTGTGTCATTTTGATACATACGCTATGAAAAAATTGTTGCAACAATCAATTGCTTTCTACCTTTGATTTATATATTATAGTTTCATAAGGTTGGTTAGAACATTGTTAAGAACAATGTAATATGATAAGAATATTGTAATAGATATTTTGTAATGATTGGAGGGTTAAAATAATTTGGTGATATCATAGTCAATAAAAGCCTTTCTACCTTGAAAGTTCATCATTTTTGGTGAGAAACTGTCCCACCATCCTACCAGCATACCTGTTAAGTCCTGGCCGACTAGGTCTGGCTTCTTTTTCACCGCAGCAGGTGCTGGATGGGAGATGTCAGGACTGCTGCGGGCACTCTGTGGACGGAGCGTGCCACTCAGGGGCCGTGTGGGGGTGCCCATGGAGAGGGACTGTTTGATGTTGAGGTAGTCCACACACTGGCGGAACATGCGCTGGAACCAGGGCAGGGAGAACTGGTACATAACGTCCACCATGGCCAGGTCTGCCAGCACAAAGTACAGCACCGCACCTCGGGTGGCAACCTAAGGAAAGGACATGGACATTTGGGGGATTAGTGTCTTTAAATGAACAGCTGTTGAGGCAGTTGAACTGCATTCAAACTTACCAGTGTAGCAGTGTAAATCCAATTTATGGAGTTAACTGTTATATTTCCAATTACAGAATGATGTTGCATGGTTGATGGCAAAATGACAGACATTTCTAGAACCACATTTCTATGAGTATGACACACCGGCAGGTATTTCTGCCTGGCCTGGTTGATGTTCTTCTCTGTCTCCTCAGACTGCCCAACCCTCTGTGTGATCTCAGCTGACATCTTCTTACTTCTCTGGAGGGTCTCAATCAGGTCCTGGTCATCCAGGATGTGACCTGAAGCACACAGAAAGTTGAAATATCAAGAGAAAACTACTTCTTCAGGTGCTAATTAATTCATAGTTGTAATCACTGATACATGTACAACACTTTCCATTCCAAAATATACTAGGAAAGTTTAATCAACTTCTATGTCCAATATAACAGAAAAGAAATATTATGCTCTTTCATTAACATGCAAACCTAACAGTGCCAACATTTGAAACATTAGGCTTAACCAAAAGGAATACAAGCTGGATGTTTCAAGCTGCCAGGTTCTGCCTAGCATGCAAGTCCAAGCACAAAAGGTGTTTTCTATGACAAGAAATATTGCTTCACAAAACACTGAAGAGATGATGCCACATGAGGTATGGTTGATTCTGTTCACCTTCTGATTTCTGCAGCAGACTGAGTGACTTGTCCTCCAGGTCTCGCAGCAGCTGCAGGTCAGCTGCAATACTCTCCAGCAGCTGGGCATGCTGCTGCTCAAGGTCAGGGCGTTCCTTTGGAAACAAAACATCACTCCTTTGTTAATCTACAATTCCTTGTTTCTGCACTTCACCATTTGATATGAAATATCAAAGTTAAAGTATTTTGTTCAAGATGCTTCATATCGCTATGGCAGGTGTACCTGGCAAAGGGCATATGTAATGGACTGTGTACGTGAGCCAGAATTTGTCTATACATCTCAACTGGACAGCTGGATACTGAGTTAGTAGTGTAGCTAATACTTGCTGACCTGCTGGACGACAGTAGACAGAAGCTGCTCCTGGAGCCCCTCAAATGTTACAGTGAAGTTGATGATGTTGACTTTGATGCAGACAGCTGGCAGAAAGTGGGGGTTGGGCATGCTGGTCGTCATATACAGCCTGCAAAATAACCACAAGTTTAACTATCATTTTGAACTGAAACATGAGACACACAAGAGAAAATTGAATGATGATCATGTCCTTTAATGTTTTAACACCAGAAAAGTGTTCAGGGAAAACTTAGTGTGTAACTGTTATATGCTTTAACAGGGAACAATTTTGATTTGCTGGATTGTTTTGAATTGTGAACTCAAAGAGATAGGATTCACCTGAAGTTTTGATTGAATTCGATCTCTGTGTCGCCCAGCCTGATGAGGTCCTGCCCACCACGGTGGATGATCTTCCTGACCAGGATGGGGTGCAGGCCAGGGTCCAGGCTCTCTCCCACCTCCTACAGAACAAGAGGGTTCATAGGAAACAGCATTAGTTACTAAACATTAGGAAAGCTGCTAGAGTTGTAATGATTCAATCTATACACAAACAAACAAACAAACAATAGTCAAGTTTTGGCCACCTCCAGCAGAACAGGTTCTCCCACTCGGATTGCGTTCTCTAAAATCTTCAAGTAATTTGGGTCGGCAGCCTGCAGGGTTTTCAGCCTCTCTCCCTCCATCCCACAGATCCACCTGGAACATACAAGTGTCAGAGGTTGGTGCAGGGGGAATGCATTTTAAGGTGGCAAGTTAATCTGACCAAATATTTCCTCCAGCCAACTACACAAAAATGAATACATGCCCCACTGCAGACATGTGAATACAGTAGTCCTTACTTTTTGCCCTGCCCTTGAGGATCAATGATGAGAGGCCATCTGTGTCCACTTTTGATGACAACAGCATTTTCCACAGAGTGCTTGTCCTGTGGCAGACCTTCATTATGCCACTGTCTGACCTGAAACAATTAGGAATGTGTCACTTCAAAGAAACTATAATATATATTAGATTAATTGCACGATTGACATTGTGATATTTATCACTATATGTGTATTAAATCAAGTCACTAATATGATACTTTACCACTACAGTAGAAAAATCAGCACCATGGACAGGAGCAATGTACAGAGGATCTGAAGGACACAACTAAAACATCATTGAGAATGACAATTGTTTGTACAATAGCATCATACCTTGTTCTTGTCTGACAGTGCATTAACCAGAGTATAGTCCTTGGACACAGGGATGGCCGCTGCCTGGCATTTATTAAGCCACTGTGATACCAGTAGTCTCCTGTAGGGGGCGTTGAAAACCCCAAGGTACCCGACGTTAGCAGCAGACAGGAGCGTGTCTCCCACCACTCCATGGAGTTTAACATCCTGGTCGTGAGCACTGTCTTTCCAGCGAACCTGTGGAGGCAGTTGTGATCAGTTGATTATTTGAATATGATGTGGTGAAAGTTTCTCAAAATGCCCACTATGACACTACAAGTTGGGCCACATTAGGTTCCCACTGACCCTCTCGTCTGCCAGTGCAGTGGTGAGGATGGACGCCCGCTCCAGCCGCTTGGTGGTGAGAACCTTCCTCTCCCGCAGGGACTCCCGCTGGTTCACACTGTCCTGGTACTGCTGCTGCAGGATGCGCAGGTGCTCCTGGATCTGAGGGGTTCAAAGAAAAAACTTTCACAACTACAGATAATGATGAAAAAGGTATCAACATTCATCTACATTCATCAAATTCTTAGTGTGACTATGGAATAGTGTGACTATGTGATTGTTACCTTTGCAAGACTTTCTTGCTTTGCCTTCAAGTTGCCCTTTGCAATCTCCAGTGCTTCCTTGGCTTCTCTTACTTTCTGCTGCTTGGGCTCCACCATCTGTATGAGAATTGGGGTGAATGGGATATTTTCTAGTATAAATAAACATTCTTGAATCTTGAATTCTGCTGCTCTAGAGTCTTCTGGTGTTTCATACAAATGTCTTGACATCCTAAATATCAAGGCTCCTTAAAGTTTTCTGTGTACATTGAGTTTCATCTAAAAATGGCACCACTACTGAACAAGAAGAGCAGACTGACCCTGTAGACCTCCATGTAGTGCTCCAGTGCCAACACCCACTGACACATGGACTTACAGGCCAGCGACACCCCACCTACTCTCTCTGGGGTGAAGTCTGGGTGCTTAGAGAACTGCTTCAGCTTCTTCCATACCTGTGGAAAACATCACAACAAAATGATATTTACTGTATGTATTTTTTGTAGAATATATATAATGCAAACAAACAACCTGATGAAGTATATAATATCAAAGTACATAGTCTTCGCTCTTGTTTGTTCAAAAGTAATTTTCAAAACAGACATCCATAAGGAAAGACTTGTATTCCAGGAACAAGTGTACCTTGTTGGGAATACTGTTCTTGTCTAGTGTGACCAGTCTCTTGAGGAAGGAGGGATCTGAGAGCTGTTGTTTTGCTGTGGCCCAGTCTGGCTTCTGTTGCAGCAGGGTGCAGACAGCACTCATCACTGTCATCACCAGTACAGGGGGGTTGGTGTACACTCTGGAAAACAACAACTCTGCATGAAACTCAAGATTCTCTAAAAGGAAGGTGTAGTTTTTTTGTCTTCTAGGAAACAAGACCATCAACTGGACATGAAATTCTACTGAATGTTCCCTGCTCTCTTCATCTCTTCATGTTTGACAGGAATTGACAATATGTTAAGTGTTCAAATGAAAGCCATAACAACTCATTAACAGAAGATAAACCTTACCTTATTTCAGAGATGTCAGACTTGTCCAGTGCATCTAGTGCAGTGATGGCTGTCTGCAGTGCTGGGAGGACAGACTGCAGGTCCCTGGTGGCCTCCTCTGCATAGTCCTCAATAATCTTGGCCTCCTTGGCCATGGTCTGCTCCTCCTCCTCCACTATCAGTCTCACCTCATCCACAGCCTCCTGGTCCTTAGCCAGCTGCTGCATCAGCAGCTCAGTGTCCTGCAAGATAGCAGAGACCTCATGATTAGCAAACTGAGCAAGGCATATTTTGCTTTTGATTCCCATTGATTTGTAAAACATTTCACGTCTTGACATGTTTTCTGTTACATTGTAGTCAGAACATCCTGACCATGTACATGTATAGAAAGAAATGCCCCTTTCCAACTTAAACAAAGATTGGAAGATAGGAAGAACATTGACATTGGTCCTTACCCTGGCCTTCTCCTCTATCTTGGGTCCCAGTGCCACTAGTTCTTCCTGCATGGTGCCCACTAGTGAGTTGGCCTCTGACAGCTTTGACAGGCCGACCAGCAGGCGATCCCTGCAACAGATCATTGGTCAATTACAATCTTTACTAATTCATCTTACAACATCAATATGTGTGCACTGCTAGGAAGGCCTGTTAAAAGAGATCATGTAACATTATTTGTTGTGGTTTGTATATTGCATGTTAACCATAGAGCTACTAATCCGCCCGTGTCCATGATATTATTGGTCTGTGCCTAAGTTACTGTGCCTAAGTCTGTGTTACTAAGTTATCTTTCTTACCTGCTGTTCATGTAGAGCTGCCTGCTGGACTCCAGCATGCGTGAGTAGAGCTGAATGAGCTCCAGGTAGCTGGTGGGTGTGGTGTAGTAGAACCGGCGCAACTCCTGGTAGTACTGCTTGGCTGCTGTGGTGACACTACTGTGGATGTCCACACAGACCCCTGCAACTGACTCACGCAGGTCCTGGGGGGGCAAAAAATTGGTGGTTAGGTAAAAGTTATGGGATTATAAAATTGTTCTACTACAATATACCAGTATCAAGAGTTGGCAAGTATTGATATTGATAAGATAACCCCTAAAATCTCTGGAGCCAGCACAAAGTGGGACCTAGACCTACAGTCAATACCCACCTTTGTGTCCTGCCCCTCCTCTGTGCCAAAGTCTATCCTGCTGAAGTAGGCATGTGCCACACTCAGCAGGGCCTCCTCAGGCCACTCGTTGTACCAGTCGATGGTGCAGCAGTTGATGAGGGCGGGGTGGGCACGGCAGCGCTGCCGGAAAGTGTGCCCGGCTGGACTCATGGCCAGGACAATGTGCAGCCTGGTTTGGACTCTCTAAAAAGTAGAAGAACAAGATGATTACCACAGATACACCTAGCACAATGTACAGATATGCACTGCTTGTGGTTTGAAAATCTCACTTACAATTTCATCTCTGTAATAGTTAAAAATAATAATAACGAAACACTAATTCAGCTGAAATGCCAATAAGAGGCATTGGTCAAATTGGAGACCTCCACATTTTGGTGTAATTTCTGCCAAAAACAGGTATCTCCTGATGAGCCCACCTGTATGAAGAGCTGGTACACAGCCTGCCTGGTGTCGGGGATGCCTGCCTCCAGCGCAGCTGACTTCAGCTCCATGGCGATGGCGTCCAACTCATCATTGTCAAACAGGTCCGGCACCTCCCCACTGTTCAGGATGCTGTTCACATCCTCAAGGAATGACTCCTAAACACACAAAGAGAAAGTATGCCGAAAACTGCAACAGAAAAGACACCTGCAAACCACACGTCTACTGGTCCTTGTAACTGTTTTACAGAAGCTGCTCCTCACTTAGGTACATGTAAAAGAGGAGAGAATGGTTCATGAATGATTCATTGATGGCAGTTCATCTCACCATGATGATGTCTGCATCGTTCAGCAGCAGGACCGTCTTGTTGCCCTGCACCCCTGCCATGTGGAACACCTTCTTCAGGTCATCTCTGAAGTCAGCATGGAGGTAGTTCCTGGTGATGTTCAGTTTGTACAGCTCACACTGGGAGATGTGGCAGGCTAACTCTGTAGAACTGGCCTTCCCTGTACCATCCAAACCAACCTGTAACATGCATGACAGGATTACTTCAAGATATCTAGAACTCAGCACTTGAAAATAATTGGAATATGCTTTCAATCAAATTGGCAATTCAATGCTAATTCACCAAGGTACCGTACCATCATCATGTGACCCCCTGGCTGCCGAAAGACTCGAGCTGCCCTGGTGATGTGCTCCACTGCCTCTGTGAAGAACACTAGAGGTTTCTCCTGTGAGCCCATGGTGAGCCTGTTGTGGTACTCCTCCAGGATTCCTGCCAGCTTCTTCTTGTTGGACACATACCTGTAGACACGCCCCACACTACTGGGAGCATGCATGTCCAGGAAGTCTCCAAACATCACAGGTTCCCGGCACAACTTGTCCGCTGTCCAGGACACCTTGAAGTAATTGTGCAGGTCGTCAGACAAGAATGCGTGAAACTGCATCCTGTCTACATCGTCCACCAGCCTGTCGTGGAACACTCGTGTAGCCTCGTGAGCGAACAGCTGGGCAGCCGTCTCACGGGACACAATCACGGTCTCATCTGCCTGCAGTAACCCCCGGATCACCTGGGAGCAAAAAGGAAATATTGACTGTCAGAAAGAACTCTTACCCTTTACCACTATATAAAAAATCATAGAAAACCTACCTTTTACCACTATACAAAAGATGAAACTAATTTGTAGCTAAGCAGGTTTATTGGGCTTTCCAAAGAGCAGTAAAGAAACGTTTGCACAAGTTTTCCATCTCAAATAAAAAAGATATTACAAAATGTACATCAATAGTCAGACTGCCTGTCTATCTAATGTACATTTGACAGGCTATCCTTGCATAGGTACTATACTCCATGCTTACCTCTGACAGGTCCCTGAGGTTGAAGGTGTAGTGAGACTTGGCCGGTGTAGGCAGCATGTTGCCACACATCTTGTAGTACACAGCAATCCCAGCTGACACCAGGTTCTTCTGACATTCCTTCACCTCTGGCATGAAGTCTCCGTTCTCAAAGAACCTGCCCAGCTGCACCTGGTAGATGTGCTGCAGGCTCTTGGAGGACGGCTGGGGCAGACACAGCATGCTGCAGGACAACATAGAATCCATTACAAACATGACTAAAATGAGTGCAGAGAGGAGGCTGAAAATAAAGATTCTGAAGCAATTAGCACTGAAGTTAGTGGACAGGGAAATGGAAGAATGCCAAAATACCTAAATTGTGTAACCAGCTCTCCTTGATCTTGGCAGAGAAAAACAAATGCACAGTTTTAAAAACAAGACTTAAGTCCCCGAGCAGGTTGAAATGACCTGGGAAACAGTGCTTTTCCTTGGTGCTGAAAAATGAACTGTTCTTGAAAAAGGGCTTTCAAATTAGTCAAACACATCTGAACTGTCCAGTACCCACCTGAAGTGCTTGAGTAGCCTGGCACTGACTTGATTCCTGCCTCCTCCAGGTGGAGCACAGGCCCCCACCAGGGTCACATCCAGCACATTCTGGGGGCAACATGGAGACAAATCTCAAATACATGACAAACAGATGAAAGTATCACAACCCCTACAAATTATATGCATTTGAACAAGTTGTGCTACATATCCAAATGTTCTTTCCAGTAATAAAACCTAGTAATAAATATCCCGGTCCACTGACCTTCCATGTCAGTTTTTTGGTGTCATAAAATCCTCCCAGCTCCAAGTACTGTCTGAGCAGCTCTAGTGGAGGCTGAGCCCCATACTGCTCAGGGGCAGGCATGTTCAAGTCATCTATAAACACAAGAACCTGAAAACATACAGAACATTATCAGTACTGGATCACAAGCTTGGTTTCTACACAATTAAGTAATTGAGGGAAAGTTAGACACACAGGAATACTGTAGTACTGAATACACACAGTCAAGCAACAGCCATCCCTTAACCAGGAAATAACCCCTGAAAATGGTAACAATAGGGCGTTTTTTCCTTAGGACTGACCTTCTTGCCCCGTGGCCCTCCCATGGCGTCCTTCCCCTTCTTGATGAGTTTGTTGGTGATCTGGTGCTGGGTCCTGGCTGCTGAGGTCTGTGCACTGAACTGGAAGGTGGAGGCAATCACCCCCACCCCGACCTTGGGCCTCAGCACTCCTTGGCTGCCGATGCTCAACACCTCCACAGTACTGCCGGCAGTGCTGGGGACTGGGGAGAGGATAGGAGATTAACATGCTGCAGAAAAACCTCTTAACTGTAAGTACAAGAGCATTTACAATATTCAACCAGTGTAGGAGTAAACTTGTGACAGGTTTGCTTCAAGAAATATCCCTCAACAGAATCTTAATGAAGTCCTCATGTCTTTCATAGGAAACAAAAACCTCTGCTCTAGAAAACGAATGGTAAACAAAATTCAATGTCTTCATAATGCCAGCAATACATATCAAGCTGCAATGTACATATGAGTTACACAAAACAACTTGTTTGATTTGTCATCAACATGTATCACATAAGACTTCGGGATTTCAGGTTTTCCAAACAACAACACTTGTTTATATACCATGGACTACTGTCACCGGGCAAATTAAGAGTCTGAGATTTTTCTCACCCATGTCAGACATAGACCCAGAGTCTCCCCCTTGCTTCTCTCCGAGGAAGCCACTGGTCAGGCTGCTGATGTTCTCCAAGATGTTTGAAGACCTCTCAGCATAGTGGAAGATACTGCCCAGGATCGTGCTACCTTTGGTGGCTGTGCCTCCATCTTTGGTAAGCCTGGACAACATGTCCTGCACAATGGCAGACTTCCCAACACCAGAGTCACCTGGATGGACACAAATAGTTAGAGGTGATGAACTGTTGAAATGTTGCTATATCCATGGATAAGGAGCAGGAAAATTTGTACAGGGCTTAATTACAATGTTACTGACCTGTGAGCAGTATTGGGTTCTTGTGCAGCAGTAGCAGAGCCATGAGGAAGGAGTAGCGCACAGTGTCCACAGTAGGGATGAGCTGACTGTCCAGGCCCATACTGCGGCTCTGCTCAGCTGACATGCCCATGGCCTCCCCTTCAAGTAAGGATTAATAGGAACATCTATAAAAGCCAGCCATTTGTTCCCATGCTTTCTCATAATGATGGTAAGAAAGACAACAGAAGGAAATGCTCCATCTGGACTGCTTGATTGGCCTGAATAAATTGTGTCAATTTTAGACTTAAAGTGTCTCCAACTCAGAGCAATAGGTTAAGAAGTCCATTAGAACCTGTTAGTCAGTGTAAGACATACCTAAGGTAACATGTGTGAGGCCCCTCTCTATGAGAGACTGTGTGGTTGGCACCAGGCTGTCCCACAGGACAAAGTTGCCAGTCTGCATGTCCACAAAGTAGCTGAAGATGGACTTGTTTCCAGTGGGTAATCTCACACCTGTACACGATGAAACGGTTATGATCAATATCATCAGTTACCAGTTTGCACAACTTTTATCAATGCATCCATCTGGAATTCGTACATAAAATGGTTATGGTATAATATAGTTGTAATTGCTTTTATCACTCAACAATTCTGAATCCAATACAAAATGATTTCCAAGTTATCACTGAGGACTACAACACAGAGAATGCGATGATTACCCAGTGGGGGTTCAATCTCAAACTTGTCGTGTATGAAGTTGTCGAAGTCATAAGACACAGCAGCAGCAGAGTCTTCCTTCTCCTTGGTGCTGACAGTGAAGGCATCCTCGTCATGGTCGTCCTCACGCACCAGGTTCCCTCCGATGGACCAGGTGAAGGCAAACACAAACATCTTCCCCAGCAGGGCAGCCAGGTCACGGGGGTGTTTCTCCATGTACCACTTCTTATCATCCCTGTTATACAAAGTATAGAAGAGTGATTTATTTGTTACAAGAAGAAAACATTTTTATAAGAAAGCAATATTCATCTAAATGAGTATAACTTCCATGTTTCACATGGGTGGAGTATCAACTCTGGTCACAAAACAAAACAAAACAAAACAAAACAAAACAAAACAAAACAAAACAAAACAAAACAAAACAAAACAAAACAAAACAAAACAAAACAAAACAAAACAAAACAAAACAAAACAAAACAAAACAAAACAAAGGTGAAAATTTCCTTACTTCCTGCCTTTCTTTCCCAAAGCATCCTGGTATAGCTGTGCCCTTCTCTCCTCTCGACGTTTCTTCTTGTGCCTTCTGCTGTCCCTGGATGTGGCTGAGCTGCGGGAGGCGCTGGAGTGACGACTGCTCGCACTGTCAGGCCGCTCTTCAGTGTCAGTGTCATCGTAATCATGCGAAAAATTTGTCATACATCTGCTTTATGGCAATTACTACCGTAAACATTACATCGAAGGATTACGCATATTAGCAGCAAGAAAAAAATACAAATACTTCCTTATACACCAATAGTGTCAAGCTCAAATCTTTCCATTTGCTAAAAATTGCCTACAATCATTTCTAGTCCAGTGTAGGAATAGCCAATCTTTATTGGAGCCAACAGGTAGGATACAGATAAAGATGTACACCCTACCTTGAGCTCCAAACCCCCCATTTTTGCCCATGAAGTCCAGCAGTGCAGACAGGATCTTGCAGAGTGAGGACACCATGCCCAGGTCGGTGGCCGGCAGGTGCTGGTGTTTCTTTCTCCTGGTCGTGAAGGCCAGACCATCATCAATACTCAGCTCAAACAACTTCTCCAGATGGGTCCTGCCAGTCTCGGGGATCTAGGAAGGAAAAGGACATCGTGTCTGTCATGTTATGGCTCAAACTTTTAGGATTCATTCCTGGTGACCTCCTTTATCAATCATCACATTGTGCATGTACATTTGCTACCTAAAATCAAGGGGCTGAACTGATGCACCATTTACCATTTAGGTACTGCATCTTTCTGGCAATGCCAGAATCATTTGAACCAACATGCAAATCATCAGCATCAAGCAACAGAAAAATGTTTCATTGAGTGACTAGTGCACTGATATATTTACATCTCTGGGCAGCCTGGTCAGCCATGTCTTCACAAAAGGTCTCCAGCCGAGGTCTACTGGATCCTAGAGGCAAGAAGAACAAATACATGTACTGTCATTTCATCAACTCTAAGATCACAAGTATACTTAAAAGAAACTTAGTTCTTTGGAGCTGTTAACAAATCAAATATATCAGGAAATTATATTCATTAACAATCTGAAAAGTAAGGATCCAAACATGTGGAAAATCACTTTAAAAATCTGGAGTAATCATTGTTACATGGATGTTTTAAAACCCACCATGTAGACCATGGCACATCTGCTGATGGTGGCAGGACTAGCCTGGGACAGGTTGTCCACCTCAAAGGTCAGACGAATGCCGGAAGGCAGGGAGATCCGCTCACCGTTAGCCAGGCACAGGGTCTTGGTGTCATCCAACACTGGAAGATATCAACAGCACTGAGATGACAGGAACTAGATGGCTAACATTATAAATACCAAAAATAATATGCAGGGAAACAAGCAATGACTAAGCTGGTGATGGATATGCCCTGCAGTTTTCTGTTACAGTCAGAGTTAATGGTCTGTTGTGTTGAGGTTTGCCTAAACTGACTGACCTGTGTTGAGGTTCTCCACCCACAGTGTATCCACAGGCCCATCCAGCACCAGCCACCTCCAGTCTGTGGGGACCTCCTCCTTGTGAGTAGACATCTCCCCTTCTGGTGCCTTTACTTCCTCAACATCTGGCTCCATGTCTGCCTCGGGTGTAGCAGGGGTCGCAGTGCCTTGATGGAGGAAACAGAAAGTTATTCTTACAACATACAAGGAGAATTTGACTTAAAAAAATCTTTTAGTTGTTAAAAATGTTTCCACAAGTCTATGGCCTAAACCTTTACTACATTTGAAGTATGCTTTACTGGATGTGATGGTTTTTCTTCAGACAACAGATAAGTTTGTAAAACATGTCACCTGTTCTTGTGTATCCTGATCCCATGCTTGTTGTTGTTGGAGGCCGCTGGTCCCACTCATCTGTCTGTGTCTCTGGTCCGGCAGTGAGCTCACGAGCAAACCTGCGCACAGCCGAGGCCATCAGCCCATCCGTCCACTCCAGGGTGTTAGGGTCTGTGGCACCGTACAACTCCCCCAGCTTCACACACTTTGGGTTCAGGGTGAAGGTCTCTACCTTCAGATATACAATAGCAGCAACAATGTCAGCTAACGAGGAGCTAGCTCATGAAGAATTCAGAATATAAAACTTTTCATGTATGAAGTGTTTGTACATTACATTAAATTTTGTATTTCAATATTTTTTCTATCTTATAAGCTCTTCCTCTACATATTTAATGGATGTGCTGTAAATCTTACATTGATAAGATCAACAGGCTACAAGAAAGTCTAAAAAGGTGGAGACGTGAGGATTTTCTTTTTCTTTTCTTCTTGGTTTAAAAAAATGCAGCACAATGATTCAAAAGCTCACAAAGCAAGTCTCACCTTCCCCTTCTTCCCGCCAGTCCCCATGAGGTGCATGCCGACTGTCCCCTCCTCCTGCATGGACGGCATCAGCACCAGGGCCCGCTGCAGGATGTTGCGACAGGTGGTCTTCCCCCCTCCGGTCGGTCCCACCAGCATGACGCCGTGGCGCACCATGATCTGCCGGTACAGCTGCACCACCTTCTCCAGCTGCAGCGGCCACGGCTGCAGTCCCAGGTCACGGATAGACACATTGATGGCTTTCTGCAAGGGAAGGGTCTCTTTGTTATATCCTGAAGACTGATTTGACTACAGTCAGAAAACCGAGGTGGCATATTTAGTTCTAACATCTAACTATCCAGCTTTAAGACCAAAGTTTGAAGTACATCAACTGCTGTTGTTGTTGTTTATTTCACTTTCAGTCTCATAGATTTTGTTGTAGTTCTAAAGATGTGCTGTTAAACCCCAGTTCCCTGTTAAAAACAGCTAGACATGGATCTACAAATACTGACCTCAAGGACTCCACTCTCTGGCTCAGGAAAAACAATCCCAGGGAACAGATCAGCCAGGATGGACTCAAACAGCGGCACGTCTTCAGCCAGGAACTTGGGCAGGTTGGCGTCTCGCAAGGCCTGGATCAAGATGTGGGCTTCCTTCTGCTCATTTAGTACCTGTAGATCAGATCATTTATGCCATTAGCTTTGCTTATGGCAGATGTCTTTTGGTGAAAGTACCAAATAAACCATATCATAAAACATTCCCGCAACAATTCTTAGAAATAGATAAGCCTTCACTACCCAGTACAATAATCAACAATTTTCTTAGCATCATACCAACTTCAAAAGGAGTTTATTCCATGTTAAAACTTTGTCTTTCAAGCCTACAAGCAGTTTAATGGATACCAATATAGCATAAGCAAAAAGGATGTTAAAATGGGGTTGATTTCCTTGCCTGATTTGGATGTGCCTCCTGCATGCTGCTCTTCCTCTGCCCTGCCATGACTAGCACAGACTTGATGGCACGCATGCCGAAGTCGTAGTGGTCCTGCTGGGACAGCTGCTTACTGGCCAGCTGGTACAGGTTCACAATCTTGGTGGACAGGGACTTGGCAGCTGTGAAGCCTGGGGAAGAAAATACATGTTGTAAAAGAAATGTGAATGCTTGTAGATCTTAGATTGACCAAATACCTTGTAGATTCATACACACTATAATAATTACATTTGTCCCAGGTGCCATTCTAGATAAACAGACTATTTTTGTCACCTCATTCAATTACATGTAATGCAATGAGACAATAATTCTTGAACATAGGTCTTTCCTTGGATTTTTAACACAATATTAAAATCCCAATTTCAAGTCTGACTGATTATCAACACCATGAAAAATCTTGGAAAAAACAACAGTGCAAAGATCATGGAGAGAAGTCCTTCAGCTGACCTTCTGAGAAGAGCATGATTTCAGCAATAAGTGCATAGTCTGGAACCATCATGGCCACCTGGCGGAACAGAGACTTGAGGTTGTCTGGCAGCTCCACACGACCCTTGTACCCAGGGTTCATAGTGATGAAGAACCCACAGCTCATGTTCAGCCGAATGTCTCTCCCCTCAAACAGAAACCTGCAGGAAGAGGTGAAATTTAAAATTACATGTAAAATACAAAATGTTAGACCTGGAGAGCTCTCAGATTTTTTTGCAACCTCAGTTCATAATTCACACTACCTGAGTGCTCCTCCATCCTTAGCAGTTTTGATGGTGTGGATTTGCTGGGCAATGACTGACAGAACCTCCACATCAATCCTGTTGAACTCATCAAAACAGCACCAGGACCCTGACTGAGCCATGCCTGAGAAGAGTCTGTAGAAGGAACAAATCATCATGTTGAGCCAATCTGAAGTTTTTCCTTTCAAGTTACAGTAACTGTATTCAGAGGTATACAAAGTTTCATCATTAAAAATATGCCAGTAATGTAGTATGTTTCTTTACACAAAAGGCCTTCACTGTTCACAGTTTAAAGAAATTTCAACCAGAAATAAAAAAATATCTACCACTGCAGCAAATAGTATAAAAAGGACCTAACCTGCCCATCATCTTGTAGTCAATGGCCTCGGAGCAGTTGAAAACCACACACTGCTTGCCCATGACCCTGGCCAGGTCCTTGACAGTTTCTGTCTTGCCTGTGCCGGCTGGCCCTGCGGGGGATCCACCCAGGTGCAGGTTCTGAGCACTTGTTAAAGTCAGGTAGCACCTGTGAGGGCAAGAAAAGGTTAATATGGTTAGCTCAGGTAGACATAACAAGTAAGACAGTGGTTTCTTTTTAAATGTACATGTTATGTCTTAAGGACATTACAAATTGATTACTTATAACTATGCTCCTATAGTTCCCTCCTACTATAATGACTACTGTTCTGCCTACCTGTCTGTTAGTGGGGTGATGACAAGTCTGGGAGAGCAGCCCAGGTACTCATACCCATACTGGAAGGTAGCGTTACACTGCAGGACATTGCAGGAGTTTGTGTGCTCGTTCCACTCATATCTCAACTGCTTGGTCCAGCCGAAGTCATCTGACTTGTAGACCTTGTTGTCAATCATCTCCTTCAGGATGTCCCTGTTGTGCACATCGATAATGAGCAGGGCCTCCAGTGTCATGCGCTGGTAGAAGTGCATGGGTGTGGAGACAAGCCTGGCCAGCCTGGTCAGGGTGTCCACCATGTTGTCCCTGACCTGGGTGACGGCATTTGGTACAGACACGGCCCGGAAGGCCTTCACCACATCCCTGTTGAACATGATCTGTGCCACTGTAAGTACCACCTGCCCGGGATGGTGCAGCACCCAGGTGGTCAGGCCACCAGGGTTCCAGTCCACCATCCCTGACTTCAGGTGCTTCTTGACAGTGTCGTACATGCTGGTCTCCACACTGCCCAGCCACTGCTCCACAGGGCCCCTTGCTCTGACGTTCTTGGGCATGGGGATGGTCTCCCCCTCTGCCGATGTCATGCTGTTGATGTAGGCAGGCTGGTGGGTCAGCTTACGGATGTCCAGGGCAACAATGTTCCCAAAGCACTTCCTGAGGTGGGGCTGAACGGCATCAGGATTTTTGCTCTGTGCGAGGATGTCCAGCAGCTCATCGTTACTTAAGAAGTAGAACCTGGGGAAGACCAGACGCTTGGTCTCCAGGTAGTCCTCCAGACACTTCTGGATCTTCTCCAAGTGGGAGTTACTGGACTGCAGGATCTCCAGCACACCTGGTGCAGTGGCAGACCGCAGGGCGTTGGGACGGTCTTCTGTACGACGCATCAAGTCTTTCCAGGACTTGTCCACCTAAGGAGCAGAAAGGCCTCAGTTAGAATTTTCATTCTCAAACTGGAAGCCATTTTCTTGAGAGGGCTACTTAGCTCTGATTGAGGTAAAACCTGTATCATTTGTTTAAAATGAAACCTTTACAAATACTTGTTGTTCACTGCCAATAAAACAAGACAACTCTCTCTTCTTACCTGTGAGAATAGTTTAGCCTCTGTGGGCAGCTGTCTCTGGATGTCTGGAGTGGTGAAGATCTGCTCCAGGTACAGCCACTGCCGTTGACATGTCATCCACTCGTCCAGCGTGCGAGCAAACAGGCCCAGCCTGCGGTCCCAGTCCTCCACCTGGGTCTTGATGGCGGTGACGTACCGCGACCCACGGATGGTTCCTATGGTAACCTGGCTCTCCTCCAGCTGGGCCATGATGTCATCAATGCCGGCGATGATCATGATGTCGGGCCTGACGTTGTGTGGCACCAGGCGGAAGTCAGTGTGGTGCCAGAGTTCAATGACCTTCTGCAGCATGGCCTCCAGAGTGGCCTCGTTACTGGCCTGTGTGGAGATGTCACCAATTCTCTCCTTGTGCTGGAAGATCTGAGAGGGGAAAAAATTTGCTTGTCAGACATTAAAGAGCATGTCAAACAAATGAAGACATGCCAATACAGAACTGAGCCTTATGTGCTATACTCAGTAGCAAGATACCGTTTAGGATAATCTGCTAAATGTCTGAGATCAGCCAGAACATGAAAAACCTAAAAAGATCACAATAATTAGCAGTCATTGTTCCTGCTGATAGTTGAAAATCTTGCCCTACATATCAGGTGACTAGTACAATAGACTTAGTAAAACATCATAGCCTGCTAAATGTCAATTATCCAATGAGAACCTTCCGAAATGGACTCTTAGAAAACACTACGAAGCCTGCACAATCGTCAGTACCTTCAGCTCCAGCAGGTTGCCCAGGGTGAACTTCTTGTCCCTGACGATGCTCCTCCCTATCAGCTCCTGTATGGCCTCCCAGTGACGTGAGCGCAGGTAAGGGTTCCTCAGGCTGGTGATCACAGGCATGCCCTGCTTAAAGTCCAGCACCGACTGTTTCAGCTTTGGCACAATCTCGTTATGGGGGAGACCTGCAAGGACACATACCGGGTAGTGTTGAAGAGATGTTGGCCATTAAAAACAACAATTCTCAATGTCCTTTGAAAGTTAAAGCAATCAAAGTACACAGAACGTTTGCCGACCTTTCTCCAACATGAAGACCGTCTGGCTGAACCTGTTGACATTCTTCTGCACGGCGTCCACATTGAGCTGCTCGAACGCCGTGGCCCTCCAGCCCTCCTCCAGCTTAGCCCACTCATCCAGGGACTCCCACAGCAGCTGGCCTCAAGGTCACATCCCGCTCCACCTCCGACAGGTCGGCCTGCACAATCTGGGCACTGGCACCACTGTCACTGGACGCCAGCATCATCGCCTCTCTGGGGGAGCAATCAAGGTAACGTTAAATGAGATGGTGATATTCTTGAAACAATGACTGAAAACAATACCTTTACGGTTTGTAAAATATCATTGGTATCATCTACAACTGTGACCACTCAAGTTTGATACTGTTCAGTACACAAATGTTGAAATAGCTCAATACCCTTGAAATATCAATCTACACACACCGCATCAGTCAACATGGTATTCAGTCCATGAATCATCATCGATGACAACACATACTTCTGACAAAGGTAAAAAATCAAACAGATCATAATAGGTAAATTACAATACAATGCATTTTTGGACCACCACCCAGTGCCAGTACCCCACATGAAGTGTTTGAAAACCTACTCAGCAAAGGATCTCATCTTGGAGGGTGCAGATATGGAGCTGCCGAAGCGGTCCTGATAGTTGGCATAGCTGCGAGCCTTGCTGGACAGATACTCCACCTCCTCCATCAGGGTCTTCAGGGTCTCCGTGGCAACCACAGTCAGGGTGTCGGGGTTCAGGAGGTTGGGATCTCTCACCTGGGGTGGGGCAGTGTGGTAGGATTATTCCTTATTCATTGGCTAACTGCATTGATGTGTACAAATTTCACTAGACTGTTGTTAACAAGATTTCAAACTTTTTTTAATGATGTAAGTTTGGTAGGGGAATCAAAAGTATCTCTGAACTTGCAACCTTACTAACATATATTCAACAGGTATTGGGTTTACAAATTCTAAAATACAATGAAATTTGATGGGGTGAGTTTTATATTCTTCTAGATTCTCACTGACCTTGCTCTTGATCTCTACCAGCTCAAATCGGAGGTTGTTGATGTGCTTGTCCAGGTCGGTGCTAAACTTCCGGATGTTGTCATCTTTCTTGGCTTCACAGTACAGGATGGTGGACTGTTGTTTGGAAGATCAGCATTATCAGTATTATTTGCTGCTTTGTATCAATTATCAAACACCCATCTATTAAATATGTATTTATATTAAATTTGGATGATAACACAATGCCAAAACATTACATCAAGAAAACATAACAAGTGTTCCAAGTCATTACAGTCCTGGATTCCCTACCTTAAGATGTTGGAAGCTAGGAGCAAGAGTCTGATACAGGGCCAACTCCTCAGGAGGTACCGGCACCTCAAAGTTCTTAGCAATGACGAAGAGCCTGGTGACGACAGTGAACTCTCTCTCCAGGATGGGCAGCTCAGAGACCATGCGGCCCAGGAAGGTCAGGTGTTCCACAAACTCCTCCACAGACTCTGGCATGTTGTCAAGTTTCTTGGAGGCTCCCTGTTGAAGTAAAACCGATTGTGGAATGGGATTGATCATTTGATAGACATTGAAGTTGACTGATATGCAAGTCAGAAATATATCTTCAAAAGCCAACTCACACATTTAAAATACAATGCTAAAAGCCTAATTGAACAGTTCTACTTAAAGAATCTTATGTCAAAAACAGGGAATATCCAACCTTAATAATCCTCATCAGCTCCTCATTTTTCTTGTTGGCAATGACTGGCAGTTTCCTGTTGATGGCAGCTAGCACCTCTTTTGGGAAGGGCAGACAGGACCCCTGGAAGCCATTGCTGAAAACCTCCATCATACCAATCCTCTGATGAGTCCTCATCTTCATCATGGACCGCACCTGGGAAATACCGTCTTTGGATTAAACACTCTTTCTACTGAATCAGATGTGCTTTCGGTTGGCAAGGAGTGACATAATGTGCTCTAGGCATTTTTTAGCTATCATCTAAGTGTAGACTGAAAGCCTTCTACCAAAGACCTTAACCTTTAGACAGACATATCATTAGTCTACTTGGGATTGAGTCTACATTCCTGGAGTTCTGTATGATAGACTACTGCACAGAGATGACGTACCTGCTCGGTATGCTGGGACAGAACATGGTGGAACTCCTCTGTGGTCCACTCCCGTTGGGTCATGGAGGCGTCCACGTCCACTCGCCGGGCTTTGTCCACCATAACGGTGAACTTGGTATAATCCTTAAGGACAGGGTAGAAACAGATCATTTATTCATTTCATTACACTACACTCCTATATCTGACAGAAAAAAAATGGAAGCCATGCAAGCATCCTTAAATGTAAGATGGGGATTGAAAAGGGCTTCTTAAAAGAACAAGTAAAGGGAAATATAGAGTAGAATTGGCTTTTGTTTTGGTTAGAAATGCGCAACAATGAGCTGTTCTACTGAACAAAAAATGTTTCTGAAGGACAAGATCAAGGTCACAATGTACCTCTGCATAACTTAAGACTTCTCCAAGTGCGTTTTCCAGGTGGTCCATGTTGGTGGTGATCATGTCCTGGTAGTCGGGGTCCTCACCAAACAGGAGTTCAATGTCAGGCCAAGGTCGCTGAAGCTCCCGCTCCTCCTCCTCCTTCTCCTCGTCTACGGACAACTTCAGGTCATAGGTCGGCGGGGAGTAGAAGACAGACAGACGCGGATCTCGGAGTAAGGCCTTTACTTGTCCTGCAGTTACAAATAAGTACGGTAGCTGACATATACAGTGTAGAAAGTGTGTCGTAAGCTTTTAACTTTCAATACTTACTGTGCTTTGCAGTCAACCATCTTTTGTGTTCCAACTAAAAAAAGCACAATTGTGTTCTTACCGACAGTGTTTTCAAATGTGGAGATGACTCCCCGGAGGCTGTCTCTGAACTCCTCCTGTGATGGAGACAGTGTGATGTTCACCCCACCTGCAGATCCAGTGTAGGAGCTAATCTTGTCCATGCTGCAGGGGGAGTAGAATGTTATACGTACATGTATATTATTATTACATATATCACCATATGTTGTTTCATTAAGTACATGTACAGTAGTTTTGCCTTAAGAGGCAGAAGGGTATATGGTTTAAAGCTAAAAACTATAGTAAAACAGTATAAAATGTTCCTTTATCTAGTTTTTGAGTGTATTGTCAAGACCAACCTTGCTTGGAACCTGTTTGCCTTATCATCCACTGGCTTGGATACAGGTGCCTCATCCTCTGATTCAGACACATCAGAGTCATCTTCCTCTGAAATTGCACATAGTGGCATGTTGAAATTCATGGAATAAAACCAGGCAATATACAGAATTCCTCTGTGTGCAGCTTAGGTATTGAAAACTGTAGAAATGGCATATCTTATTTGCAAGAAGATATCAAATGAAACTGAGTAGTCGCACACCATCACACATTTCAGCACCAGGGACAGCGCAGAGACATGTCTAAATATACAGTAAGCAGCACCATACCTGTCTCCTCCTCCTCCTGTAGTTCTGACATGCCCCCCTCTATGAAGGTGACCGTTTTCCTCTCCCTTGTGCTGGGTGTGGCCACCAGACCTTCTAGTCTAGCCAGTGAAGATGGGACGTTTGAGCGGACCTGTATATAAGAAACATTGTTGATGATGAAGATAGTTAATAATGTTCATCATTCCAGTAACCACCACCCAAAGTTCTAACCAATTAAAAGAAGTCCAACAACTACTGATGATGCAAAAAGAAGTCTTGATAGTATAAAGATTCAAAACATGATACCTAATAAACCCCTTACAGAACCCACCTCTTGCGTAACAGGACGGCTGTCCACTGTTTTCACAGTACTGCGGGATGGCAGGGTGGGAACATTCAGCACCAGGCTGACCTTGAACATGGCTTCTGGAGTGATCTCTACTTCTCCCTGCTCTTTAACTTCTTTCAAAACCTGGGAAGGAACAATAGATAATCAGTTGATACTGCTTCAGGATTACATGGCATAAACTACACGGGAATTAGGTTCACATATCCTCATGAAATCATATTTATGAACCGACAAGAAAACTCCTACCTGATCAATGTCAACTGGCTCTTCCTCCTTGACCTCTACTTCTTTGTCAAAGTCAAACTTTGGGATCACAAATGCCTTTTTTGCAGAGGCCTGCTTCTTTGAATGAGGATTGTTTGTGTCAGAGGCATCACTCCACCTTCTCCCCCTGCGGTATTCTGAAAGAAGAGGACACAATTACATACTTCTCTAATCTGGTACTGCACATTTCTCTGTAAACAAATCCTGTAGTATCTTTGCATCAAATTGTCATGAACATAGGCAGAACAATAAAAAAACTTAAGAAGATGCATTGATCGTTTAGCTCACTGTAATCAGATTAAAAATCTCACCAGTAAGGGTCATTCTCTTTCGAACCGGTCTGTCTTCATCCTCACTCTCAGACTGTTCTGAGTCCGACTCTGACTCATACTCCACAGGAACAGTGGCAGATGCAGACACATGAGCCACCAGGTGCCGTGTAGCTGTGATCACCAGGCGCCGCAGCAGCTCCACAATCAGGTTATCTGCAAGTTTGATGAAGCATGACAGACGCAGGAGGATCTGTCGCCACTCAGCTATCTGGGTGTACGTTGGGCCATCTTCTGTTAGGGAACAATCATGAATTTAACACATGGAACCCTATATGTACAATGTACATGTACTAGTACATAGTATTATATGTATTGGCTGTGTAAGAGTCCCAAAATCAGTTTCCAGGAAATTCACTGTAGAACACATGATATATCATTATGTATTTACTAAGTAACATTTGAATAAAAAGATGTTGGGATACATATTACTTACTTTTCTTCCCCGAAGCTTTTGACTTTTCCATCACAGGTTTGTTTGCCTTCATGTCCTTGGTGTATGTGATACCTTCATTTTCTGCCACTTTCTGTTACAAAGGACCAAAAGCAGAATTAGATGATGGCAACAGAGAGAAGGCTGTGATCATGTTGTACATGTAAATGTTGATTCTAACTAGAAATGACTGCTACAGCAACTTTATTTCTAGGACAAAATTGACTAGATAAAATCTAACATTGCAAAGTGGCCACACAATGGTTACCTAGTATGAAACAGCAAAATCTTTGTTAAAGTCTATCACTGGAACATAGGTGTAAGTTTATATCCTATAGTATATACATTGTACAATAGGGAGTTCATTAATTTAATCCTTTAAGTCAGGTTGAAGTCAGCAGTTCTATCTAATAGATACAGTTGGATCTCAGAAGGATGTATGTTTGACAGTACAGAATTAACTCACTGCGCAGGCATCCCAGACCAGCTGGACCACCTTTCTCCTGAGAGTGTTGAGCTGCTGTAGGGACAGGTTACACTGGTCCTGCTGGACCTTACAGAAGTCCTGCAGGGTCAGGGTCTGTGTTCTGTCCAGGTGGACCAGGAGTATGGCACTCCCACTCTCTCCTAACCCTGGTACACAACAAGAACACATCCCCATCACAAGGCTTTATGTGTCACAACTGTTGCACATAATTCTAACTTGCTATAATTCTTTTTACAAAGACCTAGCTGGTAACTTAAGATACTAAGCCAAATTGTGATTTCCATAACTACATGTACAAAATTTCTGAAACAAAGTAACTTTAGTTACAGTCTTCCTTTTCAAGCAAATAGTTTGCCAACAGTGCTTTGAAGTCATAAATGTTCCATTTTTGAACACCACAGAAGACCAACAGAGAAGAAGTTTCCCAGCTGACTACCTGTGCGACTGCTGGATGCTGCCTCACACAGGTCCCTGATGTGCAGAAGGCAGCGCTGCAGCAGGTCGTTGGCGCAGAACAATGTGTTCTGCAGAACAGTCCTGTTGCCTGTGTTCTTGTTGCCACGTATACATCCCTTCCACACAGTGAAAGCTTTCCATATTCTGTGGAAATTGTTATCAAAGGAGCAAGATCCATATATGTAAGCTGTATATCAAGATCCATTTACATAGGCTGTATATATGCTGATAACAATACTTTTTCTTTGATAACTAACACCTCAATTAAATGTCAAAATACATGAAAATGCAAAGATACACACCATTCCTCTAACTTTAATTACTTTGAGACAATACCTGAATTTCTCAAAGACAGGCAGTTTGTAGATCATGTTGAAGAGTCTTCTCTCATACATCCAGGTCATAACAGGGGTCATGGTCAAGTCCTCACCACCCTTGGGTCTCTGCTCAACCTACATTGTACAAATTTATGTAACAGACAAGAGTGACTACTTAAACTTCCCATGGCCAGGAGGCAGCCAGAGCAACCAATGTATATAGTACCGCAACATAACATGTAAGCTAATGCCATTAAATTCTCTTGTGGCAGATGAGTTTGGTACAAAACACAATCTCCTTTAGACAATGGCATGCAGTACTTAATGACATACCAGAGTAACATAGGAAGCCGAGACTGTGTGGAATGATGAGTTTGCTCGTGCTGTGTTGGCTGAGACCACCTGAAGGTTATAAGGATTGTGACGGGAACGTGTATCATGACGCTCTCGGAGTAGGGCATACAGGTAGCTCCCGTCATCCTCCTGCCTCTCTGAAGTTATTTCCTAGAAGAAACGACAGCAACAGTTTTAGCCATTTGTGTCACCAGAATCACAAACAGTAAAATATTTTTTTTAAGTCAGAATAACTCAACTGCTTTAGCCAATAAATGTTGAAACGCTACCATTTCTTCTTGTCAAACCAAGTATGAATGATAACTTAAGTGCTCAATAACATGCAGGTGCTTCATATAGTGCAGCATACTGAGAGAAACCCTTAGCCCACTAGCACACAATATTACATAATACTCATACTATACACTATAGTGCTGTATTAAATTTGGACTTACATTAACATTTAAAATCATTCTTCAGCATAGAGATACATCCATACTACTATCTCCTGATAAAACACAGTTTTACAGTGTGACACTTTGGAGTTCATGCAAATCCATCTTGTGCATCTACTGATTAGAATGAAAGGGTTTCCTGCTGTGGTACCCAAAATGCCTCACCATTGAATCTTGTTCTAATGCTGCACTTTGCTGAAGTGGAAATAAAGGGGGATGAACATACAGACATATGCATGGACTGTATTGTCAAGTCAGTTTTGGCCCTTTCCTTTCTGCTCGAGCCTTCCTCTTACATGTACATGTACTAGTATTTTTAATATGCAGTCACAATCACAAACACCACCCTATGAAAGGCAAACAAATGTACCAAATAAAGCTTTGGGTTTCTTAGGAAACATCCTACTTGTCTTGTTAAAAAAAATTGATTTGGGCAAACCACACAGAAATTGTTTAATTCCAAGTTTTGTGGCTTCCCAGCCAAGCACAGCTGACCTGCATTGGATCCACATCATCTATTGTCTTCATAGCCTCACGAACACCAGGTCCATGTAGCGGCAACTCTGTCCTCCAGCCCAGAGACTGCCTCATCTTGATAATCTGATTGGCTGCATCATCATCAGCTGGCACTGAGAAGATGATTATGGGGGTTACACAAAGATTTGACGATAGAAGGCTTAGCAACTGTACTTGAAGGGTTATTAATGTGGTACATAATCTGTGACAGACAATTCAATTAAGTCTTACAATGTCAACGATGAGACAGGTCTTTTCTGCTACATTTCCATGTAAACTATGCACATGAGTTTGTAACACATGCTTCTCATAGCTAAGAATATCTTCCACGTGTTAGCTCTCATATTCTTCTGAATGCTTCCATTTGTCAATTTAAGAATTCAAAGTGGTATTTGTAATCTTATAACATTGTAACATAAGTTGTTTTCCTGAGCACAAATAACAACATCGGACTCCCACTACTTTTCAAGACAAATGCTATATGCATTTATTATTTCATTAAGATTTCAGCTGCTAAAATATATGGCAGCATGTGCCATTCCACAGCAGGCTGCATCATCCCTACATGCAAATCTGAATCCAAGAACATGACATTATCTGGTAGAAGACATTTGGAAGGAATATTTCTGTGAGTCTTACCTTTTACCACCCTTTATACCATCCAGGTGAAAGCAGGAAAAGTCATGAGAAACTCAGAAAATTCAAAAGGTAAAGACAGAGATTAGAGTGGAATTCTACAAATCAATGTGTCATCATGATGACAGCATGTGCATTAATAGTGATATCATTATTAGAGTATTGTGGGGAGATTTGTTGCATAGTAATTTATCATCCTTTTATGAAAGGCAATCTTCATTGACTTCATTATTGGTGGAAATTCAGGAGAATAGATAATTACTAAAGGGAGGACTGGAAATATTTGTGAGTCATAAAGATGTTCTTCTAACTATACAAAGAAAGAATCTAGAACCAGAACATGGTAATACCCAATAAGTTCTTGCAGTTAGTATCAAAATCCTTCAGTCTCATGGCCACACCAGATGGCAGTAACTCTCATATTGAGGATACCTGAGAGAATACCTTGCAGTTGCTAAAGCTATTTTCTCTTCAGCCCCATCAATTGTACAAAAAGATTTTCTTATTTAGCTATCAGCTGCAAGAAGAGTAGCGGACTGCCGTTCCCCCTCATGCAATGCAATATCATGTACTTGTAGATTAGAATATCAGGGTATGATTTGATAACTTCAATTCCATTACCTGTAGTGTCGTATACATTGGTCAGCTTGTATGTCAGCACTTTCTTGGGATCCCTCTTTGCCGACTTCCTTCTAACGGACCCGGCCTCAGAGGCTGCTTTCTCTTCATCAGTTACCATGGCAACATCAATGTTGTTTTCCCCTTCCTGTCCAACTAGTTCAGGATTTGGCAGATCAGCTTCTTTTTCAAAGCCATCCCCTTGTAAAGAAGCTTGTGCCTCCTTGTCTTGGACTTCAGAGTTCTCTACTGCATCTGTAGCTTGTGGTTCATCTTGCTGTAGAGTTTCGTCACTGGGATGACTGGGAACAGGTGTTAAAAAGTACAACTGAAACTCTGAAGGATGCTGAAGATGCACACTGTCAGCCATCTATATCAATATGATTTGTGAATCAATCAGTAGCCTTCAAAATTCACTGAAAATCTGGACCTCCTAAGAAAATATAACCTGTTGCTATTTAAAATTCTTCTAGTAGTTAAACAATGATCATTGTTTAAGATTACATAAAAACTTGCTGCTTGTTGTGTCATTGTGCTTGAATCAAACTAAAAATATTATTTCAAATTTGATCTTTTATTTAAATTTTACCGGACCCTATACATAAAGCATGCAATCCCTATCTCACTTTTTACACTTTCATAGTCATACAAAGGTATACAACCTTTCAAGAACTGCAAGACTATGTACAATATTGATATAAATCTGTTACCAACTGGCCCTTGTCATGTGAGGTATTTGTCACCATTACAGTAATTCATATATAGGAGACCATTAATAATCTGCAAATACTGTATGACAGGAGATTTGTTAGTGTCATAAATCAAAATTTTTATATTTCCCTCCACTATACTTGGAAATGTTGCCTTTCCAGTTCATCAAGGTTTCCAACATTTCGGAATCAATTTTGATTTTTGAATTTTAATTTCTGAAATGCTTAATTTATATATTAGTGTACATATGTTTAATAGCCACTGTTTTTCTGTGTCTCAGCTGTATTTCCTCCAGACTCATGAATTAAAGCAAACATTGACAAACATTCAATAAACAGTGAAACATATTCAGTATGGCATTTATCAATACTGCAGTGATCTAGAATGACACTTGAGAATGATGACTCCTAATGCCTCTAATCCCTGACCTATAGACGTCTGAGCGTGGGACGGATGAAACAGACTTACCAGCATTACTCAAGCAACCATTCAAGCCTGACTGATGGTATATGTCAAACTGATTTGCATTTGCAGCTTCTGATTTATTCTGAAGACTTCAGAATATTCTTGAAGGGGCTTTTTCAAAAAGGATATGCTAGAATGATGCCAAATTCTATAACCTTTTCCTTATATAACAGAAGCTATAAATTTTTGAGTGTGCAATGCTGATACCTTAATCACTCAGAAATTCAATTCACACCCAGTCTCCCTAACAAAGGCCTGATAGAATTGCTACTTTTTTAAGGCATCTTTCATTTAACGTTATGCTAGCATCTATTCATTATTGAAAAGCATAAGGTTTTCCAGTAATAGTATGAAAGGATATTAATTCAAATGTAATCTACTTAGGATAAGGTATTCTATATCCTCACCCATTGCTCCCATCTGTTGCCAGCTGTGTCCCTCCATCCTGTACCACCGCAGCAGTTTTCTGTTTGAGCTGCTGTTGTTTCTTCCTCTGCTCGTGGTCTCGTCGGTACATCATGGTGCGGAAGGCAGGCTGGACAGACGGACCGGGGGCCTTCCCTGCAGGGGGCCGGGGAGCCAGAGGAGGCTGGACACACAATATTACAGAATCATTTTCTTCTTCTTCTAAATTTGTAAGAGATCCATTAATGTAAAAGCCACAGAAAGAATACCTGCAGAAGTGTATCATTAACTAATTGTGGATCCAAGTAAAAGTCAAAGCAATAATATAAAGAAAATTGCTATAACACTACACGACAATAACAACTTTTTTACACTATGTAGTCTGTTTCTTGAAACGTGATTATTGTATCATGCTAAGGAATTTTCTATGGTTGAAAGAAGTAACAGCAAAATCTCTATATAAGAGAAACTTGGATTTCTGAAAAGTTCATGTTACCTGTGCTCCGTTCAGTTTTTGTGGCCTTGCAACCTTGTTCTGGATAGTCTGGTAAACCTGTGCGTTTTGTGGATGGTCATATAACCGAGCCTTGAGATCCACACCACGGAGCTGCTTCGCCTGATGAACCCTCATCACCCCATTTTCCTCAGGATTACCCTCCTGAACAAGCAAGATCTTTATCAACACAACTGCAGAATGTGTAACACCATAAATTTGCATGTTTACTACCTTTGCTGAAAAGGTTATGTTTTCAGAGCCATTTGTGTGTCTGTGGACATTATAACATGAGATGTTGTGGATGGGTACCCAGATTTGTTATATGGGTAGTTGTTGATAAACAAAGGACAAGTTTGATTTTGGACATTCTTGTGGCTTTCTATGGTATAGCTGCAGAACTTCCAGTATCTATATATTGTATTCTGATAATGCTATGGTCATGATTTTGTAATGGTAGATAAAGGAGATGGTTTGCATAATTAATGAGGAATTTTTAGAAATCCGATGAATTTTAGAAATCCAACGCATTCCATAAAACTGACTATTCAAACATACATTTGTATGTCATATATAACTGTCTAAAAGAGAGTAACGTCCATGCAGATAGTATCTACATGGACGTTGTATATATGACAAACTGTTTATACTAATATCATAATGAAA